AAATACAAAAATTAGCTGAACATGGTGGTGCACACCTACAGTCCCAGCTACTCGGGAGGCTGAGGCAGGAGAATCGCTTGAACCTGGGAGGCGGAGGTTCCAGTGAGCCAAGACTGCATCACCGCTCTCCAGCCTGGGCGACAGAGGGAGACTCTGTCTCAAAAAAAAAAAAAGTTTTAAGCACTCTTAACACTAGTATCCAAGGCCTTGACAGTCTGGACTGTGTAGTCTCTTCTCCTTCCTAAGAGCAGCTGCAGTCAGCCATGGACAGTCTCCAGCACATGCCCTTGTTCCCATCAGCACCCCTGGCTGCAGACAGGACCTCTCTACACTTTATTGAGTCTTTTTTTTTTTTTTTCAGACAGGGTCTCACTCTGTTGCCCAGGCTGCAGTGCTGAGAGTTTAACTTACAAAACATGGTGGTTACTCTTTACCTTCGTTTGCTTTTGCTTTTACGCATCTTCCACCTCCTGCCGAAGCCAGATGAAACCTGGCTTCCCCTAACGAAATACCACTTCCCTCACAGCCCAGCGAGGTTGGCTCAGGTTCTCACTTCCCCTCTGGACCGGGAGCAGGGTCCACATTTGCGCTCACTGTCCACTGCCATGTCCTGACCAGGCTGTTGCCTGGAGGCTCCACATCACCCCCTTTTCCCAAACACTTTCCAGGCCCACCTCCAGGACTCTATGGCTTCCCTATGTCATTGTCCAGAAGTTATGAATCAGCCTCTGCTTAAAGATTTTTTTCTGAGCATTCCCTGGTTCTAACCACTCAGAAACTTGCAAGTTGGCACTGGTGCCAATCTTAACCCCAAGGCTTTCAAACGCTAAGTCTCCTCCAGTCATAAAAGTCATCCCTTGTGACAGGACAAAGATGATGGCATTGTGTTCTAGGCTGCTGCCTCTGCCAGCTGCCACAGAGGAATCTGGATTGCCAGGTCTGTCTCTTGGGCTTTCATGACACAGAATCCAAAGGGAAAGGGAAGGAAGTCAGGAGCTCCTCCACCTAGAGATGGGGAGCAGTTATGAGTCTAGACGGGAAGGAGACGCTGCCACAGTTGGGCTACACGCAGGGTACACGGGCCGGGCTTGACTTGAGCTCAAATCCAGTGCCCCCTACACTTACCAACACAGTGAAACCCCATCTCTACTGAAAATGAGATGGTGAAACCCCATCTCCACTGCAACAGTCCTTGAGAAAGGAGCCGCCATTTCTAATCGGTCCTCCCAGGTAACTTATTTAAATCCAAAGGAAGAAGCTGGGTGTGGTGGCACATGCCTGTAGTCCCAGCTACTTGGGAGGCCAAGGCAGGAGGATCACTTGAGGCCAGGAGTTCAAGTCCAGCCTGGGCAACACAGCAAGACTCTTAAAAAACACAAAACAACAAAAACAAAAAATAAAAATCAAACGAAGGCACCCTAAAAGCCAGCAGTGGTCTCTGTCAGCGACGTGGATAAGAGAGGGGAACATATTTTAACAATAGCTGTGGTGTGTATCTCCAAGGTGTTCAAAAATCGCAAGTTCTGAATTTGAGTTGTTTTGTTTCTGAGCTTTGCTCTAAAACGGGATAGCCTGGGAAGCAAAGGGTTAAGATGACACCACTTTCTCTTTTGTGGAAGAGAAAGAGTCCTGAGGCTCAGAGCTGGCCCTCGGCAGGTTCCAGCCCTCCTGACCTCACTTCCCCTACCTTCCCTGCTGGGCAGTGCTGCCTCTCCCTGATGCTCTCTGTAGTCTGGCTGCCCTGAGGGCCAGCAGAAGGACTCTGAATGTTGCTGGGGGCCTTCTCCCCAACGACACTGCCTACACCTTCATTCCGAAACTCATCTCCTCTCACTGCAATTTCTTGCAACTTACCTGAGGCTCTGCCTAGATTGAAGGGACCCTCCATACCCACAGTGCAAAGGATTATTTTCCTGGAGATCTTAGATCACATCTCTTTCCTGCTTAAAGACTCCTCTGGCCAGGCTCGGTGGCTCATGCCTGTAATCCCAGCACTTTGGGGAGGCCGAGACAGGCAGATCACAAGGTCAGGAGTTCGCAACCGTGGTAAAAACACGTCTCCGTTAAAAATACAAAAATTAGCAGGGTGTGGTGGTGTGGGCCTGAAATCCCAGCTATTCAAGAGGCTGAGGCAGGAGAATCACTTGAACCCAGGAGCCAGAGGTTGCAGCAAGCCAAGATCGTGCCACTGCACTCCAGCCTAAGCAACAGAGCAAAAAACAAAACAAAAAAAACAAACAAAAACTCTCCCATGGCTTCCCACGATCCATAAGATATGCTTCAAACGCCTCAGCCTCACCCAGCAAAGACTTTCCTGGTCGGACCACGCCCATCTCTCAGCCTTATTGGCCCACTTTACTTCAACCTACTCTTCTACCTGTAGTTACACCATGTGGCGCCTTCCCAGGTGTGTTTGTCTTTGCCTGGAATGCTCCTCTCTTTTCCTTTCTCCCCTCTGGCCGCTTCTGGCCAATGTCTACTCATCCTTCATAACTCTGTTCAGCTATCACCTCTGCCAGGAAGCTTTCTCAGACTGCTCTTCCTCTAGTCTGATTTAACGCCCTTCTGTAAGCTCCCATAGCTCCCATATAGTGAACCTCCCAGAGCCCCTGTGCAGAGCTCCACCAATCATCGCACTTATCACCCTGCTTGGTAAACATCAATTTACTTGTCTCTCTCCCCTAACTAGATTGTGACTTCCAGGTCAAGCAGGAACCATAATTCATTCATCTTTGTAAACCCTATGTCTGCCACAGAGTAGGCACTTAATAAATTTGTGTCAAATGGTTGGATACATGGATGGATGGATGGATGGATGGATGGATGGATGGCTATATGAATGGATGGATGGATGGATGGATGGATGGATGGATGAATGGATGGATACATGAATGGATGGATGGATGGATGGATGGATGGATGGATGGATGGATACATGGATGGATGGATGGATGGATACATGAATGGATGGATGGATGGATGAATGGATGGATACATGAATGGATGGATGGATGGATGGACGGATACATGGATGGATGGATGGATGGATGGATACATGAATGGATGGATGGATGGATGGATGGACGGACAGATGAACGGACGACATTCACTAAGTCCACTCAGCAATATGGTTCCAAAAGTTAAATATTTTACATTCCTTAACCTCCAGGTATTTGCACTTTAAGAGAGATAATACTGGCCGGGCATGGTGGCTCACACCTGTAATCCTAGCATTTTTGGAGGCCAAGGCGGGCGGATCACCTGAGGTCAGGAGTTCAAGACCAGCCTGGCCAACATGGCAAAACCCACATCTCTACTAAAAATACAAAAACTAGCTGGGTGTGGTAGCCTGAAATCCCAGCTACTCAGGAGGCTGAGGCAGGAGAATCACTTGAACCCAGGAGATGGAGGTTGCAATGAGCCAAGATCATGCCACTGCACTCCAGCCTGGGCAACAAGTGAGACTCCATCTCAAAAAAAAAAAAAGAGAGAGAATACTACAGAGTGTTTCTTAACTGCAGGCCTGCTAATCATCGGTGGCACACTGGAGGAGCATGGGAAGAATGAAGATTTTCATAGCATTTACTCGCAATTCTCTGCCCCTCCAACTCTAGGCCCACCTGCAAATGAGACAGATACCATCTGCCAACCCAGCCTGCTGTCCCAAGTTTTAAAGACACCGTTAGTCACCTGACACTTTCCTAACTTTCCCTAATCTCTGTTCTCTTCTGTTCTATATTTTGTATTGTGCACACTATACACAAAAACACAATAAAATTCCACCTTCCAGGAATTATCCACTGGGCCTCTGCCCCTCCCATAATTCCCCCAACACCAAAACACCCTTGCACTCAGCCCTCTGAAAACCTGAGCTTACTCTACAAGACATGTAATCTTTTCAATCCAATAAGGTCTCACTTGACGCTGGACCTGAATCATTATGCACAAACCTGCAGAGTGTCTATTATTTACTATAGATCCCAGAGAGTTTCCTCAAAAAGGGCGGCGATGCAGCCTGTTAGTTTGGTTTAATTGTATTCTAAAGCCATAGCAGTATCAGCACTCTTGTAATTATTGTGGCCTTTAAGTTTTCCACAGAAGTTGAATACAATAAAAGAATGCTGGCCTTTACAGCTGGCAGAGGGCAGGTAGGTTGCCTAAATGATACTCATTCACAGCAAAGGAGACTTATCTTTATATGGAGATGGCCTCACCAAAAGAATTTAAGAAGGTGGCCGAGGCGGGTGGATCACGAGGTCAAGAGATCGAGACCATCCTGGTCAACATGGTGAAACCCCGTCTCTACTAAAAATACAAAAAATTAGCTGGGCATGGTGGCGCGTGCCTGTAATCACAGCTACTCAGGAGGTTGAGGCAGGAGAATTGCCTGAACCCAGGAAGCAGAGATTGCGGTGAGCCGAGATCGCGACATTGCACTCCAGCCTGAGTAACAAGAGCGAAACACCGTCAAAAAAAAAAGAAGAAGAGGAATTTAAGAAGGCTTATACAAAAGACACAGAGGTATCATAAAACACAAAACAGTAACAATGAAAATAAGAAGACAAGAATTAAGAAATTAAAGCCGAAGGAGAATATGTCACTGAAACCCAGGCTAAGGAAAATTAGTGCACGGAGCTTCCTGACGGCCAACGCGAAGGCGAAAGTACAACAAACTGGCTGATAAGAAAGTAAAGCAGTGTGTGTTATCCCTCTTTAGTAGACCAGCTTTCAAGGATCACTTGAGCCTGGGAGGTCAAGGCTGTAGTGAGCCATGATCACGCCACTATACTCCAGCCTGGGTAACAGAGTGAGACCATCTCAAAATAAAAGTGTAACAAGACTTTACTACTTTACTACTAATGGCTCTGGGATAAAGTGATGGAAGTATAACACAGGAAAAGCCCTGAAGCTGAGTAAATCAGCCTATTACCAGAAATCTCCCCACCCAGGCCCCACTCAAATCATGTGGTTCAGGCAGGAGCTCCCACGTCATTACAGACCTCTCTGCCCTGCTGTCCTCTGTCTGTCTCTCTCTCTCTCTCTCTCTCTGTCTTCTGTCTCTCTCTCTCTCTCTCTGTCTTCTGTCTCTCTCTCTCTGTCACGCATGCACACGCGCGCCCACGCGCACAGCTCTCTGGCCAAGGGTGGACTTCAAACCTAGGCTGGGCTGATCATTGTGCCCCACCTCCCTGGCACAGTGATTGGCGTAGGATTGGGTAACTGAATGGAGTTGAGCCAATCAGAGTCTTTCTTAGGGGGCTTTTCAAGCCACGTAGAGGAAGTCCCTCGTTTTTCCCTCTAGAGCCAAGGCTAGGAATCTCACAGCCCCCAACAGGCAAACCCTCAACAGTGTTGCAGAAGCCAACCTGAGAAATCCAACCTAAGAGAGAAGTCAAGTGAGAGGTGGGGAAAGAGCGCCTCGACGGCATGCCAGGGTCTGGGTCCTCTCCTCCCTGGGCTCGGCTGCATCCCAGCCCTTCCTGTGATTTGGTAATGTGACCCAATACTTTTCTCTTTGCCTAAGCAGATTGACTTGATTTCCTATCCCTTGAAACCAAAAGAATGCTCACGGATAAAGGGAGATGCAGCAGCGCAAATGGATGTTTTACCAAAAACACGAATGCTCTGCAGGTGGCCAGCTCTCCTCGTGGACTGTCTGGTGCTTACCATGTTGCAATCTTGTCCTGAAAAAACATTTTCACGGAGGGACAGTTGCATATCCATGGATTTGAGGCAGGGATGAAGCTCACAACTTGAGCTATGAGTGATGAAAATATTTCTCTGTTTTGTTGGGAGCTCCATAGAAGGTCATTTAAAATTAAAAAATAGATCTTTGAATCTTGATTGAAAGAAGATCCCCATGCTGTACACACCAGGGGTAAGGGTGACAGAGACAATTCCTTGAAAAATCAAAGGACCTGATTGCACTTCTGCCCTGGTGCAGAACCCCCTCCCCACTCCCAGTGCAAAAGAAAAAGGACTGCAAGAGTCACGGTGTATGCATGGCACATCTATATGCAGGTGGCCACATGAGCAGCCTGTTGAATCCATAATATTCTGAGGCATTTTGGGTTTTGTAACTGCTCCTTCCCGTTTTTCCTGTGATACCCACATTTTATCATCTTTCTTTCCCCTTTTCTGAAGTTGCACAACAGCTTCCCGCCCAGCTCTGTGAGGCCTTCCTGCTCCGGCCAGGATGCTTCATCAGAGACGGGATCCAAGTTTTCATTCACTTCAACCGTTTACAGGGTGTCTGCTGAATGCCAGCCATTACAATGGCACCAAGGAGAACAATCAGGTGGTCACTGCCTTTGCAGGGCTTCCATTTTCAACCTAGTTTTAGTCCGGCCATGCCGGATGATGCCTTCACGCCACACATCCCCTCTGTGCTCTCTGTGCCAGACCACAGAAAGCATCGAGGAGTGTATCCAGGGCCACTCAAAGTCTTGCTGGGAGCAGGAGTGAAAGCGCCAACCTTCTTGCCTAGTTGGGTCTCAGGATCCATATCTCTGATGCCTATGTGACAAGGGTCATGGAATTCCCTCATAACTGGGTAGTTTTCATGATACGTTAACATCTGTTCTGCACCTGTTGCAGGCCTAGCAAATAGTTTTGAATTAGAGGCCAGTGATACCAGAAGACCGGATGGAGGAGAGCCTGCTTGGGTGGAGGCGGGACAAGCAGCAGCAGCCTCCAGCCTCCAGAGACAGCCTCTGCAGCAGTGCCTGTGGCTGCATCTGTGCAGCTGTGGCCCCAGCATTGCACAGCAGCAGGAAGTCCTCCCCACATGCGTCCTGGGTGGCTTCGGGCTGCAGTCCTGGCCCCTGTCTGGCCTCCCTTGCACCTGTTAGCCTTCTGGGTTTGGTTCTCCAAACTTCTGCGGGGATTTTGTGAGTTCCTACTATCATTTACATAAATTTCTCTTCTCAAATAAGCCGGAGTTTACTTATGTTTCTCAGAACTAAGAAATCTGATTTATGCATAAAGTGTTGAGGCAAACAAATCAATAAATGAATCCATTTTCCTATGCGCATTTCACAACTCGCTGGGACCAGTGGACATACTGTTCACCTCACTCTATTGTAGATGTTGGTGTTGAGCCTCAGAGAAGCCAAGCAATTCCTCCAAGATTTACAGAGCCAGTAACTGGCAGAATCTGGACTTAAATCTCAGTGCTGGAAGTTTTTTCTCTCTTTCTTTCTTTTCTTTTATTTTATTTTTTATTGAGACAGAGTTTCACTCTGTCACCTAGGCTGGAGTGCAGTGGCACAATCTTAGCTCACTGCAACCTCTACTTCCCAGGTTCAAGACATTCTCCTGCCTCAGCCTCCCAAGGAGCTGGGACTACAGGCGCTTACCACCACGCCCAGCCAATTTTTGTATCTTTTGGTAGAGACGGGGTTTCACCATGTTGGCCAGGCTGGTGTTGAACTCCTGACCTCAGGTGATCCACCCACCTCGGCCTCCCAAAGTGCTGGGATTACAGGCATGAGCCACCGCTCCCTGTGCCATAAATTGTTTCTGCGGTACCAAGCAGTTTTCTGGTTTTCGCCACAGTGATGTCCCATAGGTTCCTGAGGCCCTGTATTTTCAGAGCACACTGTCTTTTTGCCTTGCACACCCTGACCCTGCTTCCTTATTTCTTTTTTAACCCTTCGATCCAGACCGATGTCCTAAGGCATGCCGGTCCATGCTGCCACAGGGGTCTGTCAGCTCAGCCCCTGGACATAAATTGGAATGAACGTTCAAACAGTATCCTGCCTGTGTATGTGTGTACGAGCGCATGGAGACTCTGACTTACATTTCCTCCTCATTTTCAGCTTATGTAGCCTACACTAGCAGAAGGGTCTTGGGGAGCTTAGGGGTCATAGGAAACGCCTTGTTAGCCACATTTTTGTTCCCTACGAAGAGGCCTGTTTTGAGTTTAGAGACCATGGAAAATGATTCTTCCCATTAAAGTGAGTTCCCCCAAAGATGAAATGGACACCTTGCTATCTACTTGATATTACGAAGACTGAATGAAATAAAAAGAATCCAGCAAAGCGCCTGAAAACGTGTTGGCATCCATATTCCAAACTGAGAAAAATGCTTCATACAAAGATGACCACGTCACTTATAACAGCAAAGTACTGGAAGCAACCTAAATGTCCACAGTGAGACGATGATGTTCATGGTATGCCACTGTTGAAACTGGTAGCAATATAATAAACAGCAATTAAGAAAAGTCTGGAGCACCACTGGAAAAATATCGTAATGAAAAAAGGGAGCAAAGCAAGATGCAAAATTGCATGTAAACTGTGTTCCCAAGTATGGAAAGATATGCATGTGTGGAAACAGACAAATAACATCAAAATGAAAACCGTTAAAATTATCGCAAAGTCCCATGATCCCTTACCCAAAAATCTGGTAGCCCGTATGTGCTTTGGGATTCCGAATTCTTTGGATATTATCGTATCTTAAACATTCTGTAGCACCTCCAGCACTCTTGAATGCATTAGTACTTCAGCAGTGAGAACATGAATAGTAGCCCTAAGTGGAATAAATAAAGACTCGGGGCCAGGCGCGGTGACTCAAGCCTGTAATCCCAGCACTTTGGGAGGCCAAGGCGAGGGGATCACGAGGTCAAGAGATGGAGACCATCCTAGTCAACATGGTGAAACCCCGTCTCTACTAAAAATACAAAAAATCAGCTGGGCATGGTGGCGCGTGCCTGTAATCCCAGCTACTCAGGAGGCTGAGGCTGGAGAATTGCCTGAACCCAGGAGGCGGAGGTTGCGGTGAGCCGAGATCGCACCATTGCACTCCAGCCTGGGTAACCAGCGAAACTCCGTCTCAAAAAAAAAGACTCTGTACTCTGTAAGTAGCTTCACCTCAGTTCAGGACAGGTGTCCCGACCTGATGAGTGCCATTCAAATTGGATTTGGCCATGAAATAACTTATGAAGAACTTTTCATTTATCAGCACTTTGGGAATTCTGGAACTGCAGGTAAGGGATTATAGACATGTAATACTGAAATACTCACCATCATATTGGTTCTGATCCACAATATTGGAAACCATTAAAGGTGGAAAATGCAGGGCCTGAGCCTGGTGTTAGAGTCATCAGCTTCACCTGAGTTCACAGTGTACCCACTGCAGCAGCAGCAATCCTCAATGCATTTGCTCTTCGCCAGATTCCAATCCAGACCTACATGGCCTTAACTCCTTTTTGTTTCTTTGGCACTTTTTGTTTTAATTTTTTTATTTTATTTTAAGTTCCAGAATACACGTGCAGAATGTACAGGTTTGTACGTACGTATACATGTGCCGTGGTGGTCTGCTGCACCTGTCAACCTGTCATCTAGGTTTAAAGCCCCACATGCATTAGGTATTTCTCCTAATGCTCTTCCTCCCCTTGACCCCCACCCCTCGACAGTCCACAGAGTGTGATGTTCCCCTCCCTGTGTCCATGTGTTCTCATTGTTCAACTCCCACTTATGAGTGAGAACATGTGGTGTTTGGTTTTCTGTTCCTGTGTTAGTTTGCTGAGAATTATGGTTTCCAGCTTCATCCATGTCCCTGCAAAGGACATGATCTTATTCCTTTGTACGGCTGCATAGTATTCCATGGTGTATATGTTCTTGGCATTTTTATTCTATTACCTGGACTTGCTGGCTCTTTTCTGACATCTTACCCCATTGTGGAGAAAAATCTCAGGATTATAACATCTATACATGGATTAAGAGTAGTCTCTTGCCCCACTTTCTGCCACTTAGTAACTGGTTAATATGTAATAATTATTAACAAGTGCACAGTTTGTGCTCACAATACACTTCCTGGTCCTGGCCTCATGTTGATTTTTGTAGCTGGTGGGCAAAGTCCCCTCAGTATAGCCTCAAGGAACCTCAAGGGGTACAAGACAAGGGTAAGAGTCCAGACAAGGTTTCCAGGCACCAGCATCAACAAAGAAGCCTGCTGTTGGTTCAGCCTCGCCTGGAAGCTTTTCTATGCATGTAGGAAGGGCCCATGAGACAGGACAGAGAAAAGCCTGATACCCCTCCCCTCATCACTATGACTCCCCTCCCTCTGCTAGCCCTGGGAATCAGCATGGCTGCCCTCACAGGTCACTGTCACTTATAGAGTGTACCACATCTTACAGCAAGTTGGGCCCCCCAAATGGTGAGAACCAGTGGTTTAGATGGAGATCCGTTGGGAAGCAGAGTTCGGTGTGTAGTATGCACAGTCTCCTCCAATGACTTCGATCTGGGCACATGCCTAAAGGCATTACGCAAAGGGCATTTTCTTAGTAGACTTCTAAGAAACATGAGAAGTCTTACAAAATCTGAAAATATATTACGGGCCAGGCACAGTGGATCATGCCTGTAATCCCAGCACTTTAGGAGGCCGAGGCAGGCAGATCATGAGGTCAGGAGTTCAAGACCAACCTGACCAACATGATAAAACCCTGTCTCTACTGAAAATCCAAAAATTAGCTAGGCATGGTGGCACACACCTGTAATTGTAGTAGTTACTCTGGAGAATTGCTTTAACCTTGGAGGTAAGGTTGCAGTAAGCTGAGATCACACCATTGCACTCCAGCCTGGGCAACAAAGCAAGACTCCATCTCAAAAAAAAAAAAAAATATATATATATATATATACACACACACACACACACACACATATATACACATATACATATATATAACATTTAACACATTATACATATATGTGTATATATGTGTGTGTATGTGTGTATATATATAATGAATGCTAAATTGATGCTTTCCCCAATTTTTCTGCTGTGAAAATATTTGAATACTTTGACATTGGCTGTTTGACATTTAAACATATGTTTTGGATGACTCTTTAAGATTTATTAACCCTCATCCTTTTCTCAGTGTCAGCTCTACATTTTTCCTAACCTCCTCATTCTACTCAAGACTTTTAAATGAGCTCCCAAAGGGAAATGCATTCTCTGAGTTACTAATATAGACCCCCTGTTTACAGCCACCATTGTGACATTTCTAGGTTGACAGAGTCCCACTTCACAGTCCTCTGACACCACAGATACATGCTTGAAACTGCTTTTTCTGTGTGTGTGGTTGGAGATTGAGGCAGTTTGTGGCAGAGCCAGTAGGATGACCAGTGGCCAAACAGGTTTTCTCCCTCATATAAAAAATGACACAGGGCATTGGTTTCATTGTCTCTCTAACTAACGAAACACTGAATTGTCACTGGGTAACAATAGCTATTTCCAAAAACTTCCTCTGCATTTTCCTTGTTATTTAAGGAAGTAGGTCTTTGCAAAAATCAGGGGCTATCACACACAAGAGAACAAGAAGAAAGTAAGACCCAAGGAAATACTGAAAGGTACCAAGGCAAAGACCTGAAAATACAGGCATCTGTGAATTTCCAGTAACAGAGTGAGCTCAATATCCAATGACCCCATTGCAAAGCCTTCACCTCACCCCACCCCAGAAACCATTTGGCTCTTTAGTGCTTGACTCTTACATATGAAACCTACCTAAAGACTACCAGATATTTAAGGATAGCCTGTAAAATAAAAGACAGACGCCAGGTATGGTGGCTCATGCCTGTCATCCTAGCACTTTGGGAGGCCGAGTCAGGAGGATCCCTTGAGCCCAGGAGTTTGAGATCATCTGGGCAACATAGGTAGACCTTGTCTCCAGGAAATAAATAAATAAATAACATAAAATAAAAGAGACTAAAACAAAGAAAAAAATAATACAGTGGAAACAAACAAAAACAAGCAAACGAAAGCAGAAGAGAGTTTTTTAAAAATATAAACCTCAAAGAGATCAAGCAAAAATATGACCTACACGAAATAAGAACAGGATGTTATAAAAATGAAGCTTCACAAATAAAATAAGAAAAAAACGCTTGGAAATCAGAAACTGAGATTCTCAACAGGTTGGAAGATAAAATTGAGAAAAACCCTCCAGAAAGTAAAACAGAAAGATAAGAGGATGCACAACAGGAGAGAGAAGATGAGAAGGCTGGAGGACTGTTCTAGAAGGCCACATGTATGAGTAAGTGATCCAGAAATAGAGAACAAGGAAAAAGTGACTATGTCATTACCAGGGAGTAATATGAGGAAATGTTTAGAACTAAAGGCTGTGACTCTCCAGATTAAAAGATTTCATCAAACGCATAGCATAATGGTTGGAGTAAAACACACACACACATACACACATGTACACATACACACACATGCACAAACATACACACATATACACATATGCAGGCACAAACATACACACATACGCATACACACACAAACATACACACATACACACAAACACACACACACACACACACACACACCCCTCCAAGGCACATCACTGAGAAATATCAAAATGATTTAAATGTTTGAAAAAAAAAAAAAGCTGGGCAGGGTGACTCATGCCTTTAATCCCAGCACTTTGGGAGGCTGAGGTAGGTGGATCACCTGAGGTCAGGAGTTCGAGACCAGCCTGGCCAACATAGTGAAACCGAGTCTCTACTAAAAAAAATACAAAAATTAGCCAGGCGTGGTGGTACATGCCTTGGTCCCAGCTACTCGAGGGGCAGGGTGGGGGGTGGCTCACTTCCTCGCTGCAGTGAGCCATGATCAAGATACTATACTCCAGCACGGGCAACAGAGTGAGACCCTGTCTCAAAAAAAAAAAAAATCTAAAAATTTGCAAGGCCTTAAAAATTTACTTCCCGTGCACCGATTCCTAGGAAATTATTGGAGAATGTGCTTATCAGGATAAGAGGGTAAGCCAGAAAAGAAGGCAGGGGTTGATGGGAGAAGGCTCTATTCAACATAGCAGACAGCCACAGGGATGATGGAGAAGTAGCTGAGTCCTGGCCAGCCTGCAAATCCGGAGAACACATGTCAGATGGTGCAAGGGTGGAAGATCCCGAGGAAAATGGAACTGGCAGATTCTTTGAAGCACTGGACCACATAAAAGATTTCTGTGAACAAAAGACACCCCAAAGACAAAGCAGATTTTTCATTTGAGTGAATTAAAAACTTCAGGAAAGACAAAAAGATTTACGGGAAAGGAAATGTCGTCATTGAGCAATTGGGCTCAACAGAGAACAACGTTTTCATGAATATGATCATGGAAACGCGTGTTGTGGTAACGTTATGTTGACAGACTACATGGAAGGAAAGCATATGGTAAGAGGATTAGGTAGAGATGCTAAATCCTCATCTGAAATCAATAAATGATGTCTAACACGGAAAAATCAAGAAAGAGCAGTATCAGCGTATTTTGTAGAAATGTAGAGCTGATGCCAGAAGAAACAAATAGAAGTTGAAAATGGCAGCCTTGCTGGGCGCAGTGGCTCACACCTGTAATTCCAGCACTTTGGGAGGCCAAGGCAGGAGAATCATGAGGTCAGGAGTTCGAGACCAGTCTGACTACCATAGTGAAACCCCATCTCTACTAAAAAAAAAAAAAAAAAAAAAACTTAGCCAGACATGGTGGCACACGCCTGTGATCCCAGATACTCAGGAGGCTGAGGCAGAAGAATCTCTTGAGCCTGAGAGGTGAAGATTGCAGTGAGTCAAGATTGCACCACTGCACTCCAGCCTGGGGGACAGAGCAAGACTTTGTCTCAAAGAAAATGGTAGCCTTTGGTGCATGAGACAGGGTGGAGGAGGAAAAAGGAATTTTTGTTTTTCATCATAAGCCTTTAAATACTATTTAACTCTTTGCTTACTATTTGCATATCTGTAATAAAAAATATACATGAAAAATGGAAAGGCAATGAAGAGACAGCTCACAAAAAAAAGAACTGCAGCTGACCCTTAAACATGTGAAGAGACGTTTGATCTCCTTAAAAATAAGAAAAATGCAAATTCAAGCTAAATTGAGATATTCTTTCTCGTTTATCAGATTGGTAAAAATTCAGCAGTTGGATGACGCCCTTTTTTGGTAAGGCCGTGGGAATGCAACATGATTCAACCCCTATCAAGGAGAAGATGCAATAACCCTAAGACTGAAGATATATTTGACTCAGCAAACCCTCTTCAGGACATGCACATGAAAAATACTTACATTTAAGGTTATTCATTTCAACGTGGTTTATCACAGCAAAATGTAGATTAGAAATAATCCAAATGTCTGTCAATGGGGAAGTGTTTAATAAACTATGCTTGGTCCTTTAGTGGAAAGTATTTATCTTCTCAATGAATAAAGGGGAAAAAAATGACATGATTTTACAACCGGCTTCCAGGCCTTCCGAAGCACAGAGAGCTCTGTCAAAAGCCTCCCAGAGGCGGTGGTTGCAGTGAGCCGAGAATGCGTCACTGCACTCCAGCCTGGTGACAGAATGAAACTCCATCTCGAAAAGAAAAGAAAAGAGCCTCCCAGATAGAGCAGACTCCCTGACCTTCGTAAACCTGAGCATAAGAAGAACCCCTTTTGAAACCTTAGACACAAAGCAGGAGAAGCAATGAGATCACGCCAGATTTAACGTCAGCCCAAGGTCTAAACCCCAGCTTGGCTACTTTTTGATTCACCGTGACACTCCGGCCTTTGGCTCCTCATTAGTAAGATGGGGATAAGACTCCCGGCCTTGCCGGGTTGCTGTGGGAATGGAGTGGACTAGTGTATGTGATACGGAAGCTACAGGGCCTGGCCCACCATAAGCGCTCCACAAACAGGAGTTGATATTAATAGTAGCACCGGAAGAAAGAATCCTGTCTCCAGGGCTGTATTCATTGTAGAAGGAAAGTCATGTTGGAAATCTCAAGAGAAGAAGCAAAAGTCACTGCTCTGAGGAGAAGAATTGAAGGAATTTCCTCTCATGCTCAGGCGGTTTTGGGAGAGGCTCTGCATACACAGGAGATAACTACGCCCTCGTGTTCTCCAGCTTCTCATTGCTGTCGCCTGCTCTGATGACTGGCAGAGACTCCTAAGTACCCTGGGTCAGCAGGGCTAAAAGGACCTGAGCCCAAATACCCGTTTAGAATGAGAAAACCAAGGACCAGAGAAGGCCAGTGATGAACTCAAGGCCACACAGCCAGCGGACCTGGTCCACAGCCAGGCCAACCCACAAAACTGCTACCAGGTGTGCATTTCACGATAGCGAGGAACACAAAAGAATAAACCTAGATGTGAGTGCCCAGGGCATTGAACTAACCTCACTTGACTCACTCCTTAAAGGGCCGTTATCAATGTAAAGCATGTGATTGAGGTTGGTGGAGAAAGTGAGGTGTTTCTATCAACCCATTTTGATGGCTGTGTGGACGCTTTAGCTTTTACACACTTCCCGTGTAATGAAACCCCAAACCTGGTGGCAGCTTACATTGCAGTAAAAAGGATTTCTAGAATGTACTCCATCCCTGCTCCAGCAGTGACTAGATATGTAATGCTGAGCTTTCATGTCCTCATTTGTGAAAGGAGATATCAGCCACCTTCATCATGCTGTTATAAAACCAAAATCAGGTAACTATGTCTGTCCGGCATATAGCAGCCACTGCTTTTCCCAAAGCCAGCTGTCCCATTGCCTTATCAGCACGGGAAGCCTCATCAGTCCTGCAACCACCGCCGATCCTGCCCTGTGAGTTACAAAGAAAGGTTTTTCCCCCAG